TCAAGGTTCTTCTGCTTGTATTCCAACAGCCGTGTCTCGTAGGCAATCTTGTCTGCGCGCCGGTCGTCTATGCATTTGATCATTGCGACGTACTCAGGGTGCACACAGTTGGGCTGCTTGAGCATCTCGAGCTCCCGCTCGAGTTGTGCTATTTGTTCGTCACAAAGTCTGATTTGCAGTTAATACCAAGTTCATCTAACCAAGAGCCCAGAAAATCACTCACTTCTCTCTGAAGAGCTTGAACTTCTTTTCAATCTTTGCGAGTTCGTCAATGGCAATCTTCTTCTTCGTGACTTCCTCATCTATGACTCCGCTGTCTTCTTCTTCGGGGTCGCATTCAGCCTCGCCTTCTTGTGGCTCAGCAACCGCAAAAGGTTCAGTGTAGGCATAACTAGGGTCCTCTGTTTTTCGTTTGCCTCTTCGGCCACCTTTCCGCGGTTTTGCGTGCTTTGCTACGGTTGCCATTTGATTGACAGTTTGTGCAGCAATGTTAGCTTGGCGTTCTTCAAGTTCCATTTCCTCACGCGCAAGCACAGAGAGACTCTCTTCAGCATTGTCGAGCTCCTCATCCGCATCCACACGGCCTTGTCTATTGGCTGCGGCGTCCGCTAGGCCATCAATCGCCGAGTTTCTGGCAGGCTCGCTCCTCTTTCGCAATGGCTCTTCCTCATCTTGCTCGCCAACAGGGCTCCTTTCGGCGCTCGTTCTTTTTCGTTTTTTGCCCGCGTGTTCCAGACTAGCAGCCTCTGTGGTCGCAACAAGCGACAGGGAATGTAGAGGATTATCTGCTGTAGCTGCTGCATCAATGGGTGCTTCGTCTGCGCCAGCAGAGGGTGTAGGAGGGGCAGAGTCGTCTTCTTCCATGGTTTTAGAGTGCGCGAGTTTGCTGGGGGTTCGTGTGTAAGCTGGCTCGGATAGCAAGGATGTCTCAGGGATTGTTCGGGTCAATTTTCGTGGAGTAGTGTCTAAGCGCTCTGTCTCGGCCTCCGAATCGTCTTCGTCCATTTCTGCTGCTGGCGTCTGCCTCGGGGTGGGTTCAGATTGATCGTCTGAGGCGTCTCCAAGCTCACTCAAGCTGCTGGAGCCGTTATCTGCGGCGTCATCAAAGCCGTTCGAAGCTTGCTCAGTAGGCATTGGCTCTGTAATGGCTGCACTTGAAGCTTTCATCGTCGACAGCATCGCGGCCGCGATGGCAGTAGGCTCCCCGGTGGCTGTTGACTCGTGTGAGGGGGAGGCAGTAGAGGAGGGGTTAGATGACTCCGTCGGAAGCGGTGACAGGGCGTCTGTGGGGGTGAGTTAGATCGGGTACATTTCGTGCGGTGGTCATGTGAGGTGTGGTGGGAAAGGGAAGTTCGCGACTGTGTCGTCGCCTCGGTTGACGCAAAGATCGACAATCTCTCGAGCGACCCAAGGACACGACAGACTGCGCAGAGCCGGCGAGATGGACCTGATGGGTTATCAGGTTCAAAATAAAAGGTTGTATGACGTACTCTCTGGCTGCGCGACTGACTTGCTAAGATCGGGAGCTGTTCTTGATGTACTCCGCCTGGTGTGATGGGGCGCGCTCATGGTGCGCCTGCGCCAGAAGTCTTGTCAACTCGTGCCCAGTGTGGTGCGAGGATGTTGGATAGGACGCAGTTGGTGCCCGCGATGCAGGAACGGCGCTATGGGGGGCAGCGGGCGGTGGGCGTGGGGAGCAGCCAAAAACACTGCTGCCGCTGTGGAGGACGTGGGCGCCGAGGGCGAGGGTACGTGCCGAGATGTTTTTGGCGTCGGACCGGACAAGGGCGCGGTAGTGTGGGTGAGGACGTGTGTGAAAACGCGAGACAGCGACTGGCATGAGTGTATTGGCGGTGAATGCAGCAGGGCAGCTCTGTCGAGAGGGTGTAAACTGCGCTTTGAGGCGGGTCGACGGCTGGGAGAGGCCCTGAGTGTCTTGCGAATGACCGCACTCTCTTAGGGCGGGCGGTAAGGTTCTGCCGCTTGTCCGCCTATTTAGGGCTAGCGTGCTTTCGAGGTGAAGCGTCTCCACCAAAACTTTTTGACGAGCTTGCTGCACGGCAACATCGCAATCGCCGCCATGGGAAAATCAAAGGAGAAGCGCGCTGCAAAGCCCGAGTCGCCTAAGAAAAGTGCACAGTCTGCCAATTCCTTCATCAAAGTTGACAAGGCCGCGTTTGACCCCGCCCTAGCCTCGTTGTTTGCAAGCAGTGTGCGTTTACCATTACAAATGTCTACGCAAGCGCGTGATTGCTAATTGAAATATTCAGGCGGGACCAGTTCAGCCACCTCCAAAGTCCCGGTACCAGGCGCGCATACAGAAGCAAACGACCCAAGAGTCGAGCGAAGAGGAAGATGAGGGCGATGCCAACGATGCCAACGATGCAGAACTAAGTTCTGCATTCGGCAGTTTACCCTCGGATGACGATGATGAGGACGAGGAGGGTGAAGATTCTGACGAGGATGAGGTCATGTCGGATGCTAGTGACAACGAAAATTCTGAGAGCGAGGCTATTCTAGCAAAAGTACGCGAGTCGGGGTTGGATGGGACACAGGATAAACAGAAGAAGCGGAAACGGGGAAACAAGGAGGAGATTGAAGATGCTTACATGCGGAAGCTGGCGCAGGAAGAAGAGAAGGAAGAGCAGCAGAGGCAGAAAAAGCGCAAGACAAAGGAAGCTGTTAACGAGGATGAGGACGAGTCCTCTGACGACGCCGAAGATAACGATGTTGAAGATGGCGAGACCAAGGGAGACTCTGGTGAGGCCGAGAAGACCTTCGCCATCCCCAAGCACGAATCACTCATGGAGGCAACCGACGGCAGCGCAGCAGAGGTGGAAAAGGCGGCCCGCACTGTCTTCCTTTCCAACGTGTCCACTGAGTGTATCAACTCCAAGTCGGCAGAAAAGACTCTGAAGAAGCATCTCGAGTCCTTCATTGCTGATCTCGCAGACAACAACCCCCCACACAAGATTGAATCAATACGTTTCCGCTCTACAGCATTTGGTAGTTCGCTCCCTAAGCGCGCTGCTTTCGCAAAGAAGGACATTATGGATGCAACAACAAAAAGCACAAATGCTTACGCAGTCTATACGACAAAGGTGGCCGCAAGAGAAGCCGTCAAGCGACTCAATGGCTCCGTCCTACTCAATCGCCATTTGCACGTCGATTCGGTCGCTCACCCAGCAAAGGTCGACCATCGCCGCTGCGTCTTCGTTGGTAATCTTCCATTTGTAGATGATGAATCACAAATGCCCGTGGCCGAAGGCGAGAAGCCCAAGAAGAACAAGCCTTCATCTGATGTTGAAGAGGGGCTATGGGTCCATCTCTCCAAATGCGGCACCATTGAAAGTGTCCGTGTAGTTCGCGACGCAAAGACTAGAGTAGGCAAGGGTTTCGCCTATGTGCAGTTCACAGACGAGAATGGCGTCGAGGCCGCCCTGCAACTCAACGAGAAGAATTTTCCACCGATGCTTCCCCGTAAGCTCCGCATCACGCGTTGCAAGGCTGAGAAGAAGAAGGACAAGCCACGCGGACCTCCGCCCTCGTCGCAAAAATCGCCCAAAGCCAACGGCAAAGCGGGCTATACACCCAAGTTGAGCGAAGAGCAGAAATCGCTGCAGGGTCGCGCGCGCTCTATGTTGGGCAAAGTCGCAAAGGCGCAGACAAAGGAGGGTTTTGTATTTGAGGGTCACAGAGCGAGCGAGAGGCAGGGTAAGAGTGGCCTCAAGTTCAAGGGCAGCGGCGGAGGCAAGAAAAAAGGCCCGAACGGCCGTAAAAGTAGGAGTGCGGGGTGGAAGAAATCTGGTGGGAAGAAGTAAGATGGGTTCCTTTGAAAGCATCTTCATCATCCACCCCCTTTTGCTTCTTTTTTTTCTCTCTTAATATTATTTGCACGAACCGATTACTGTGCAGCTTGTAGCCTTGGACAGCATTCTTGTTACTCACAATTTGCTTGCATCGATGCATAGACTTGTACAGGCCACTTCATGTCTGTTCAAGTGGCAATACAGGTCGGTAGAACAATTATGGGTGCTGAACTGTCCTCTTCTTTGCACCTGCATGTATGAACATTGGAGATTGGCCTTTCCATTTCACAAGTTCAGTTCCACATGCTCTGCCAGTGACGTGCTTGTGCTGCAATTGCCGTTTGCGGGAAGAGAAGGAGAACGTCGAGCCGGTGAGTTGACACCTAAAATGAAACGTGGCCCTGCCATCATATGATCGGAGACGCCGGCATACCCGTGGGATGCATAGAGTGTAACAGATGGCGTATAGCCATGCTGGTAATATCGTGTGTAATTGATGGTAATTAGTTTTGCTAACCGTCAAGTGTGCTCCCCCGTGGTAAGGCTTATGAGTGCCTAGCGCATGGCCATGCAACAAAAAGTAAGATTTAGATTTGCATGTTTATTGGTGGGCAACAAGGCTCCAGTGACGGTCGGATAGGATGACGTTGCATGACCCCGGTCAGTTGGCCTGACGGTGCGAGCCGAAGGTTTGGTGGCCGAGTTGACGGGCTGTCGTTGTTGCCACGGTGCGAGAATGGCTGTTTCTGAGAATCTGGAACGCATTTGGACTATGAGCTTGAACGTCTGGGGGATCGACGAAGCAAAACTTTAATTACACATCAATCAACACAAGAGCGGCAAACAAGCGTGTGAGAGTGTGTAACAGTCGAGATTCATCCATGGCACCCATCATACGACTAGCTCGTCGTAGTACATGGTAGATGGGTTTATTCGGGGAGTTTGGCTGGTGACAAGGCCCGATCCGAGGACACAGGCGTTTCGACCGCAACGGGGTTTCGGGTAAGCCGAACTAGGCACACTTGGAGCTGTAGGTCTGACAGGGTCCATTGAGAGTAAATGCTGCAATTGGTTGCCCAAGTCATATATTCCCAAAACCTGGATGAATCTGGGGAGGGTAATACAAGGTGGCGAAGACCGAGTGTAGCAGCATTTGGCACAGAGCTGGGCATTGCCGAGTTTCCGACAATCATGTGTTTTGTACAGGGCGGTTCTCGCGTGCCGGCACAGCAGCTTGTGGTAACCTTGGACGGACGCGTGGGTAGGTGTGGGTGGAGGGGGTTATGCAAGTCAGCGGAAGATGTAACCCTAACAGAACAATGCGATGATCAATAGCCATTGATACGCTGCATGGTGTGGGTAAGCAAGGCTGACAGATATCTAACCGAAGTGGACCGATGCCATTGGGGTCCGTGGATTCGCATGTAGCACAGACACAGATGTTGCGACGCCTGGAAACAGAGGCATGTGTTTGACCATGTGGAACTTGCGGAGATGATGTGCAGGATGCAGATGGGAATTGCGGCATGGTATTCGTCCGTCTCGCTTGATGTGCCCACGGCAATGGCAAGTACGTGGGTGTGGTTTGGGCAATGGCGAGGCTTGTGCTTGTGTGTCGCCAGGGATCATGGCACGTTGCTGCCCTTGCAGCGAGAGTGTAGTGGTTGCATGCTGCTATAGAGTAGTTACGAGTTTGATGTTTAGCCGACGGAGGAAGCACGTGTTTTGGTGAAAGCGCCGAATTGTCAAAAGAAAAGGGTGACCTCACAATGCGGCAGGACCATGGCGGCGGTGCCGAGACGGAGGCTTTGAACGACGCCGCCAAAGTATGACACAGAAGATGTCAGTGGCTGATGAAAGTGCTGTCGGCCTTGAAACGCGCTTCCAGGCCGACGGGCGAGCAGAGAAAGCCAGGGACTGATACGCGAGAAGAGCACGTCCGGTACTGGGAGGGCTGAGGCGTTGGGTGGCGCCAGTGGAGAGTGTGCGTCAGGATGCGAAGCGTTTGCGCGCAAGCGTATTGGACAGAGGGGGCCAGAGAAAGCTTGCATTCGCGCCCGACTGTGCAGGCACGAGAGGGATAATGTGGCCTGGATGCACGTGCACTAGCGTTGGGACGCAAGCAATGTGAGTACTACATACATGTGCATTACAAGTGTACAGAGCATGTACATGTATGTATGTACTGTGCGCGCAGAGGCCAGCAGACACAGTTGACTGGTAAGTAGGTAGAGCAGTGTTATGCGATGGCGCTGGACACGGCGGAGCAGCGCTAGGCCAGGTCGCAGCAGAGCCAGCGCTGAGACACGGAGATGCGGACAAGACACGGGCTGAGCCAATGAGAGGCGGCAGGCGGCTCTACACCGAGCGCGCAAAAGACACCACAGGCGCGAGGCGGCGCGTCGGTAGGCGGGGAGACAGCAGGCACTGCGGCGGAGGAACGGGCTCTACGGGCTCCACGCGAAGAGAAGAGGGTACCTGCGCAAACCACGGCCGAGTGCGCTGCCGCTGTCGGGGGCATACGCGTCTGAGGGCGAAGGACGGCGGGTGTGGAGCATGAGCGTCTGTCCAAAGTTTGGTATCACGACACATTGGCGGCGGATTTGTCACGAGGGGGATGCTGTCGACTGTCTCGATGCTGGAGAAGCGCCTTGGGCGGCGCGGGCGAGGGCAGGCGGGAGTGCATGTGTGGCGCGCTAGGCCGCATTGGGGCAGGCCGCCCTCTCTTTGCTCTAGCGGCCTGGGGGGCGGGACCGATTTTCAGCCCGCGGGCCAATGGATGGGCGGTGGCAGCAGAGGGCAAAGCGCCGTTGGCTGCGCGCCGGGGGTTTTTGCTGCCTGTGGGACTGTGATTTGGCTGGGTGCGGAAATGCCAGCCAGGCCACCAATGCCCGTCGAGAGCACTGTTAATGTGCGCGCAGGGCGAGACACAGGCAGAGACGGGCGACGGTGGCAGAGGCGGCGACTGCGTGGGCGGCTGGCGACGATGCCGACACCGACGCGGACGGACATGGGCAGGATGGGGGTGCTGATGCTACTGCTGCTGCTGCTGCTGGGGCGGACGCAAGCGACGCACCGCCGCTCGTAGTAGCTCACCGCCGCCGCCGCCGCTGCTGGCCGCTTATTGCTTCTGTGGACGTCATGTTGGCACGCCGGCTGGCCTCTTCCCCTGGCAGCGCATTCACTCGTCCATCGATGCATTCACACACAGCTGTGTGCTGTGGACATGGACACATCCACAGCCGTCGCGGGCTCAGCCGGGCGGCAGGCTGCGGCCACGAGGGGCTGCTGTGATGGCCACTGCTCATCACATCCCATCCTGCCCACCCTCTCTCCCACCCCAGGCGAGCGAGCGGGCGGACGGGCAGGGTGACGCGCAAAATGCAGCTGGTGGCTGACTGTCATAGGGTGATCCCGGCATGCCCTCTAGCGCACCAAGCTTGCGTTTCGCGAATAGAAATCCCCGCCGGCCGCTCCAAATCAAACCTTTGATTCCTCATTCTCCAATCATCCAGCCTGCTCCCCCCATCTCGCCCATTGCACTACAGCGCTTGTGTCCTTGACCATACCCGCCCGAGCGCTGCCGCTTAGTGTTCCCTCGCACGCCTCGGTCAGACAGCACCCTACAAGACAAGACCATTCTACACCCCACAGACATTCTGCCCTCCAGCAAATCAACGCGACTCGTCAACCCTCCAGCCACTGACCACTCGCAACCCTCCGCAACCCGTCCACCGCATAGATCACGGGATCGCATTTCGCTGCGAGTTCAAAGCATCGGTAAGTCAGTCCTATCATTGCGCCCTGATCTGCTGCAACGCGCTCCCTTGTTTTTGTCGTGTGAGCGCGTGCCGCCCGCCGCCAACTTCGCATGCCGCTGCCGCTTCGCCAGGCACGAGAGGCCTCGTCCGTTTTCTCTGTCGACGGCGGCCATGCCCGGTCGCAGCGCAGCGCATCGCACTCTTGCCCACACAACGCCACGCGGTCCGCACCTATTGCTTCGGCGCTGCATCGTCACAGGCTCATCTCCTGTTGATGCTTCCCTGGCATTATGACGCGTTGCGCCTTGCTCAGCTCGCCTGCCCGACCCGCTCCATCTCCACTCTGCCTGTCCATCGGCTTACATCGCATTAGGCAAAGGCACCACCACCACCACCACCACCACCACCGCGCTGCGCATCCATAGTCTTGTATCCCGCTCTCTGCCTGCTACTTGGCTCGCGCCTCCTCTGCTCTCATTGCTGTTGCTGCTACCCAAGGTGTCAGCTGCACACGTCAATATAGAGCTGCGCCGTCGCTGGTTGCCCTAGCTTTCAGAGCCGCAAAAAGTGACCCAGTCCATCTTGTCCCCGCTACGCCCCTGCAACCCGACCGCACGCGCGATTGAGAGACGCGCATGTGCTGTGCTGCCGCTGATTAAAGTCGGTAAGTGCCTCACCGTCATGCATGCATACACCTGCATTGCCAACGCATCGCCTCCAATCGCCCGCCCCGCCAGCACATGCCACCCTCGACATCCTCCAATTGCCCAAGCATCTGCGTCCTGAGCTAGCTGACGGTTACTCTTAACAGTGTAGACAGTTCTCTGCTTCATTTATGACTGGTGAATACCTGCAACGGCTCTTTCCCCACTACGGCGCGGCCCTCTAGAGCGCGTCGTCAACCTCACCGAGAGAAGCCCTTCTGCCCAGCAACGAGCGCACAGCCCCACGACGCTCAATTGCGCCTCAAAGCCTCAGCAGCTTGCAACCGTGCGCTCTAGCAAAGTCGCCTCAGTTAAGCGTGGCCATTGACAACGCATCAAGCATCCGCCCTGCTGCGACGTGACCCAGCGTTCCCGTTTTGCGCGCCTAGATACTGTGATCCTCCCGACATCTCGCCTCTAAACAGCAAGCAAGCCTACCTCGGACGTTTCTTTGATACTCTATCCAGCTACTCGAAGCTGAGCTGCATTGATCCACACAAGACCCCAGCCAGCCTCCTATCCACCCTCTCCAAAGTCCCGGGACTGTACACCTAGGCCCTGTGGTGATCTCATCTCACCTCTAGGCTCCCACACCAGTCGCATTGCTTCTTGGACTGCACGCGAACCCTCCGCGCCCAACTCCCCCAATTATCACCTTTTGGTACTCTACCGTTCTTCCGCCGTTGTCGGTTTGCGTATTACCCAGGGCTGCGCTAAGCTTGAGCACGGGCCTGTAATACTCGACGTCAAAACCGCCGACAGCCTCGTTCGCCCAACATCACCAACATCGCCATCATGACCGAATACGCACAGTTTCAACAATCCCACCACGGACACGCGCCCGCGCACATTCAGAGCTACGGTAGCAACCAGAGCCCTGCAGGCGGGAACCCTTCCATAACCTCACCTACGCAGCAGCAGATGCAACAATTCCAGCAGACATCACCCATCTTGCCGTCACAAGGCTATGGCCATGGCGGCGCGCCGCACCCACAACATCCTCAGCATCATCAGCCGATGAACTTCCCCCAGCAGCAGTACATGACGGGCATGCAAAATCCGTACCTGGCCTCGCAGCAGCAACAGCAGCAGCAGCAACAGGCAGCAGCAATGGCAACAGCAGCTGCGGCGGGTCCGGCCGGATATTACGATCAAAGCGCCATCCCAGGCCAGCTGGCACAAGATCCGCGCGCATCCCCACGCATGTCTGTCTCTCAGATGAAGAATGATGGACGTGTTGCTCCACGATCCCCAACCAATGTCAACAACGCTATGAACAGTGCGCTTCCTTCGCAGGTTCAGATGACGCCAACTCAGATGCAACAAAGACGGATGAGCACTCAAATCAGCAGCCCTGCGATGCCACACCCACAGCCCGTCATGAGCCACGGGGGTCCCCGACCTTCAGTGCCCCCACAGATGGCCCAGCAACCTCAACACCAACAATCGCCAGAGCTCGTATCAGGGGGCCCGCAAGCCGAGGAAGCTCCTCTCTATGTCAACGCCAAGCAGTTCCATCGCATCTTGAAGAGACGTCTTGCAAGACAAAAACTCGAAGATGCACTCCGCCTGACGTCCAAGGGACGCAAACCGTACCTGCACGAGTCTAGGCACAACCATGCCATGCGTCGTCCGCGTGGTCCTGGCGGGCGCTTCCTTACTGCAGAAGAGGTCGCGGCCATGGACAACGGTCAGAAAGGCGAAGGCGAAGACGGCAACAAGGAGAACACATCCATGCCCCCCAAGTCTGGCAGTGCTGGACCGAAGCGCAAGGCTTCGTCTTCCCAGCTCAAAGGAACACCAGACGTCAAGAAGAACAAGGCAGGTGCTGTACAGCGTCACAGCACTAGTGAGGATGATGAGGAGGAGGATGAAGACGATGGCGAAGACGATAGCTGAGTAGCTCGTCAGTCTGTTCCTTTTTCTTCTTAGGGTAATTCGACTCCTATGTTTTTTTCTTCCTTTTCCCCTTTGTTAATTTCGACCTTTGGTACTTTCGAGAACCCCACCCCCTTTTTTTCGGTTCACGATTCACGAAGCGAGTGCTTTTGGGATATTTGTTTGTCTTATACTCATGTTACCCCTGTTGTCATCATTGACGCCTTCCACACACATACACACACAAATTGTCGTAGCAATGGAATGAGTGGAATGAGGGCTACAGGTATGGCGAGGTGGTCTGAGCCTATGGCACTCAGCTTCTGATGAGCCTGCTAGGGTCCTTGGTACTTTGCCATTGTTTTCAACTCTTGTCTACGGACCTTCTGTATATTTCTTTTATCTTTTCTCTTATGACTCGATACCCACATTCGCTACATGTTTGGCGAGGATACCCAAACTAACGGCCAGGTGAGCCAGTGGTTATACTAGAAAGGGTCTCCTTCATCGGAAGAAAATCAATACCTTTTTTTTTGCTTGATTGTTATTGTGTAAGATGTTTTCCTGGCAGCGAGGTGATGTGATTAACATTTTGCATGTTGCGTTACATTGGGTGTGTGACCGACCTGTCACGGAACTGTCAACATGTTGTTGCGGATCCAGTTCCCGCGGGGATCTCTACAATGGGCCTTGTACATATGTGACTACGCTATTAGCGGGGCTGGTCTCCGGGATCCAGATGTATTTGTGGAGTCAGCAAGGTCGTTTTTTTTTTCGGCGGTACAGCTCACGAAAAGTTTGCAGCAGATGGTTGCCACAAATATTGATTGGTGGTAGAAGAGGCGGGGTGGATGAGCGCAAACTACTAGTGCGCGAGTCGTTGGTGGATTGGTCATTGCTAAGTAATTCAGTGCGGAACTGAGGTGCGGGACCGCAGTTTGGTGACCAAGTGGAGAAGTGCATTCGCGAGGTGTGGGATTCTGCATGCCGGGCAGTAGCAACCGGGGATGCTACGATAAGCATCCTTCTCGTGCCTTCCGTCCAAGTATGGAATACAATATGTGTCTTCCGTCGCACCTTACTCCTGTTCGCCATTCCTCACAACAACGACAAGATGACCAAAGACCCGCCCAGCCGCTCTTCCTCGGACGAGTCGATCCGAGAGGTTCAAGATGAAGAGCGAGAAGCCATCATTGGCGCCGAAAGGAGCGCACTTGAAGAGGAATGGTGCAATGGCATTCGCTTGAAGGTCGACCTTCGACTGTGCAGCATCGCGGGCCTCCTCTGCTCGCTCAATCTGCTTGACAGCGGTGTCATTTCCAGCGCGTCCGTTACTTCCATGCTCAGCGACCTGGAGCTCGATGTCGGCAACAGATACTCCGTCTCCATATTTATTTTTACCATTGCAAGCATTGCTTTTCAGCTGCCGTCAACAATCGCTGTCAGGACATTCGGCCCGAGAATCTGGTTTTCCTTCATTACCTTCTGCTTTGGCATCATCACGCTTTGCACAGCCTTTGTGCAAACGTGGCGGCAGATGATTGCACTCCGCATCTTGCTTGGTATTGCTATGTCGGGCATCTACCCAGGTCTGACCTATCTTATTTCCACATACTATACGCGGAAGGAGCAGCAGCTTCGCTTTGCGCTGATGCAGAGCGGAGAAGTTATTGTGCTTGCAACGGGCGGGATTGTCAACTATGGCCTCAGCCAAATAGATGGCAAGCATTTGAAAGGCTGGTCTTATATGTTTCTCGTACAGGGGAGCATCACCGCCTTTATTGGTATCCTGACATACTGGTGGATGGTCGACTTTCCAGAGAAAGCACACAAATCCTTCTGGTTTCTCACTCCACACGAAAGTGCTGTGGCATCGGCTCGCATTGAGAAAGACCGCGGCGATGTCCAGGCCGACCCATTTACGTGGAGTAAGGTCTTTGTACACGCCAAAGACGCCAAAGTATATGGATTTTGCACGTTGTATTTTCTTCAAAATCTTGTCTCAACCTCGCTATCATACTTCCTCCCAATTATTCTACAAGGTGGCATGGGATT